GTACTTTTCTCCATGAGCTACACGTCACTACACTATTCTAAGCCTCCAGTTGTTCCACTTGAAGTAAATATCTCACTATGGAGAATCTCCGTAAGTTCGCATGATGATGATACGGCTTCCTAGTAATCATAAAGACTCATAAAACTGATAACAATTTTCACGTCACGTGAAAAGAATAATGTTGAACAGAAATTTCTCAAACTCAAAAGGTAGCAAATTTACAGTTTCATGAATTAAATGGGCAGTATCTCACTGGTCCCGAATGGAATAGCACTCCGACATATTTTGTAACAGACGGTTGAGTGTTAAGAGAGCTCCTACCCAGTCGCGCATAAGTGAGCGCTAATTGGCCAGTAGGTCTGACTCCATTTGACTGCCAGGAACACTGGCTGCTTGAATGGCATGATGCAAACGCGAGCTTTGGTTGATCAGTCATGTTTCAGAATCCATTCATCGTCACTCGTTGCGGATGTGCTCAAAATTCCAAGATGTCGCCGGTGCTTGTGTGTACTTGACACATAGTACGCCTGTTCCTAGTTTCAAATGAAATTCACCGTACTGCTGGAAACGCTTGCCTTCGGGGCCGGGGTGATAAATGATATGAAAAGATACCAAATAAGCAGTAGGTCATTACTTCACTGAACCAATGGCTTTTAGAAGCAGACAATACCGTTGAAATTCTCGACGTTCTACTCCATCAAAACAGATCACGGCTACGTAGTACACGCGCCGATAATCCAGCTGGACAATAATTCCTGCCGTGGAAGTAGTATCTGAAACACAGTGCAGTATGATAAGTTGCAGCTAAGGTACGTCTCCCTGAACACCTCCGTGCTCACAGCCCAAACCTAAGATCAGTCCTGCCAGCGTGCGATTAACACAACTACAGAGTAGCTGGTAAATGCCAGAAAGGTTCGTTCATGATATAGCGAGCGTACGCTTCAGGATCATGATTTTGCCCAAATCATAGAAGTTTTCTACCTTTCCTGCTAGAAACCACATTCAGGGTATTTCAGCGTCTCTTGCAGGTAAAGAGTATCTCTCGAGAGTATACTGCACCATAGATGTTTGAACACAGGGCTTGATTCTTGTCAGTCTAACAGTGTGCACATATGACCAGGTATGCAGTCTGCCTGGGTCAGTAGAAGACGCAATCAAGAACATTTCCATTTGTGAACCGGGTACGTTGGACAAAGAATTTGGAAAGAAATATGGAACGACTGATTTGCAAGACCACGTGTTATCCGATCGATTATAGTCATGCAGGAAAACGTACTCTACTTTCAAACTCGGCCGAGTCCACTGATGGAACAAATATCTATTCAAATGAACCTCGTCATCTATGCAGAGGATCAAGAGAATGGTTCTCAACTGGATCTACTCGTAAATCGATAAGTCTGAAACAACTGCTACAGACTCATCAGCACGAATGCAGATTCACGAAAGACACTGGTCTGCCCAACTTCAATTCTGTAAGTAATTTACGACGTTTTATAAACAAATGATCTACCACTTATTAACCTGTCTAGGAGTAATCAGCTTGCAGATCGGGTACTCAAAAAGTGCACTGAAATTATGTTAGACCACATGGGGTTTCGTGTGCTATTCTGACTTTGCAAGCAAGGCGGTCTTCTGATCGATTGGGATGTTAAAATCCTCAAGTCACGTGATCGACCAAAAGTTTCATTTTAAAATCGTGTTCTAAACGTACTGACTAAAGTTGCTCACCTTCCAATATTGAATTACGTTGTCCACCATCCGACCGATTAACCAGGTCTCTGTTGATATCGCCTCCTGTTCAGTCCGGGTAACTTTGAAGATTAGCAATGGTCACCCAGAAACTTTTCTGGGGAATATCAGACCAACGCAGTCACATGAGTCAGATTATGATGGTACTCATAAAGGTCGTATTTACCATGTTTCATGTGCAAACTTACCAGTGAATAACTGGGAATGCAATGTGGCCAAAATGAAGGTCTCCATCCGGTGACCTGTAAGCACCCAAGAACTCAAAGTCAGTTTTCCCAAGCTGACTACAAGTAAGTAGTTATGTCGGACAGATTTGTCGTTTTTGGTCGCCTTGTTAAGGTGAATACATTGGTCAGGTTGTGAGATGACTATGCAAACAAGTACGTGGGTACCTACTGATGTGGTTAACGAAAGGCAAGATACCAATCCTGGAATAATTGGTAACTCCCAATCACAGATTTGGCCTGCACGAGCTATTTCGCGTAATTTTTCGAGGGCTTTCTGGACTCTGTACAAAGGTGCCCCTTTCAGTAAGTGAATTTTTTTCTAGTTCACCGTTTCAGCCTACCACGATCGGGACCAGCTGTAACACTGATGAGCTGGTTGTTAGCCAGCTGCCAATCAGGTGACTTTCGCCACACTAACTCTTCTGATTTCTCGCTCACCGACGTGACCTTGCCGATCAACTCTTGCATTGTCCAATAGATACCGTGAATCTTGATGGTATTAGAATTGATGGTCTGTCATTCCCCTGAGGTATTCTTTCTAAAAGTGGTATTTTTGTAATCGACAGGAGGAAAGCTCCATTTTTCAACTTGGCGTCCTTTTGGAGGAGCAGTGTAGGTCAGGGTAGAATTTCAGCCGACAGGCAAGTCTGGATAATCTCAAACGAGTCTACCCTCCTTCCTATTTGTCGCACATATTTGAGGGCAGCATGTTCTCTGGTGCACGGAAAGACCACTGGCCCGCTGTATACAAATAGCTGCCTGAGGGTGAACAATGTCTTAGTGAAAACTCAGTGGGTCACATCTTCAGACTTTTAAACTTCCTGCTTAGATTCGGTATTTGCTTTTGGTCAACAAGACATTTGTCGACGAAGATAAATCCCGTTGGGTGATAGGTACTCTGCACTTCACGCTTCAGTTAGGTTACACAGAGATGAGTTATGTTGTTCTCAGTAGTTATTATTGATTATTGATTATTATTATTGATTATTGATTATTACATAGCTAATCTGACCTTTCGAAAAAAGATCCTACATGGAGGGTACGAATCGAACGATTTCCAAATTATTTACCCACATGACGGTGATACATCACTGTGCAATCTGCCTACGAGACGGCCCAAGTGGTTAGAGCGCGAATTTCCTGACCAGAAGGTCCGTGGTTCGAACCCGACCTCTGCCTCTCGAATTCCCCTGTCTAAGCTTGGGCAAGCTGGCAGTATCCCAGCCCTCGTGCAGCCATCTGGTGGCATGGCAGCTAGGCACCAGAAAGGTGCTACAGCTAAACGATTTATTTTAATCTGCCTACCAGTTTTCAGTAAAGGACCAGGTTGAATTAGATGGCATTGGGTTTTCGAATGGACGCGTTGAATCATTTTACATCGTATTAAGAGGGCACATAGCTGAATCGCAACTGTCGTGATTC